TGGTGTTACAGAAGAATATATGGGTCTGGCAAGAGTTTGGTCAATTTTTTCCTGTTCCTTGGGTGTTACCTGTGTATTAATGAAGCCATCGAGCATTGTTTGTATGCAGTGGCTTGCATCTCAAGCCACCTCGGCTCAGGGACCTGAAATGGGAACATCTTTGTGGTTTGATGCTAACGTTAGGGAGCCTGCTGCAGCGGGAGTCCAGCTGCACGAAGAGCAGTAGGAAGTTGCAGGTTTCTTCTTCAGCATGAATCTCTTCTCTCACGTTTGGGGGCTGAGGGGAAGTCTTCATGTGGCACACCCATACAATTTCCGTTTTTAAAATAGAGTCTGGAAATGTGCCTCTAGATTAACAGTCCTGCTGGTGACTTGCAGCATGCAGAAGTTTACATATCCTGGAAATGGACTTTACAATTAATTTGGCAAGAGAGAAAACCAGTGGAAATGAAACAGTGCAATAGAAGTGTCTTCAAGTTAGCTAGAAGGGCATTTAATCCAGCATTCCCCCCCCTTCCTACAGCTAGTTAAAAAATTTTGTTATGAAATTCTGTTACAAAAATTTTATGTATGACAGAAGTTGGAGACCATAAATCCAAATGCATTTACATTTCTATTTATAAAGAAATAAGCATACCTCTTTCCCTGGCTGTTCAGCAGATATTAAGACTCTAGGGCCAGGATAAATTGTTTCTGCATCTTTTTCATTTCAAAACCTCGAAATCTTTCTTAACTCTCCTCTCTTGGGCCTTTATGATGAATGCTTTAGTATTAATTTGTCTAGTAATTGACAAGAGAGCTCAGATGGCCTAGTGGGTCCAGGAGTTATGCTGCAACCCAAAGGCAGGCAGTTTGAACTCACTAGCTGCTCTACAGGAGAAAGATGGGCAATCTTCCTCATATAATTTATAGCCCCTGAAAACCTGCTCAAGGGTCATTTCTAAGTCTTTTTCAAATCAACAGCACATAAGAACAAGAAGTAATTGATAGACATCACTGTTATTGTCTGTCTCAGATCCACTCACTAAGAACTGGTCAAGAAGAGTGTATCTTGTTTATTTTTTTTTAAATTTTATTTTAAAAAGTGTTGTTGAGAATATAAATAGCAACATAGTCACCAGTTCTACCTTTTCCACATGTACAACTGAGTGACAGATGATTACCTACTTTAACTTAAACAGCCATTGTCAACCTCTTACTCTGAATTATTCCTTTCTTTCTTTTTTTTAAATTTTTTTTTTAAACTTTTTTTAAAATTTTTATTTTATTATTTTTGTGTGAGTGTACCGTCAAATCAGATCTGACTGGTACAGGAGGAGATTGTCCCTCCTTCCCCGGCAAAGCATCTGGTGGATTCGAACCGTGTGCCTCTGGGATTGTAGTTGAGTTATTTCTTTCTACTAACATGAACTCACTACTTTAGAAAGTTTCTATCTAATCTTTTGAGTTCCTGTTGTCACTTTGGTGTCATATAAGCAGGGATATTTTTTTTAACCAGTTAAGCTAAACTATTGTTTGGTTTAAGAGGACTTCTGGGAGATATTTTTGCTTTAAGTTTTAAAGGTTATCCCAGAGCAAAAGTTTCAGTAGTTGTCCCTCTAGCCTCATGGATCAAAAAAGTGCAGAGTCCATGAGATTTAAAATTGTGTCCTGCATTTCTCCCCTTTTCATCAGGATTCTTCATTCAAAATGTTTAGTAATGGTAGCCAGGACCATTCAGTTTTTCTGGTCTCTTTGCAAAGAAGGCAGTTGTTGGAGGCAATTAGCTACACATTCCATATCCTCCTTCTATTCCTGACTGTCCTTCTTCCTCTGTTGTTCCAAAGAGTATATCTTTAATTGATATTTTAAAAGTCCAATTAGTTGCTGAGGAGTCTCTGCTAACCCATAGCTACCTCGTGTGTATCAGAGTAGAACTGTGCTCCATACTGTTTTCAGTGGCAGAGTGTTCTGAAGCAGATCATCAAGTCTTTCCTCCAGAGCTCCTCTGGGTGGACTTGAACCTCCAACCTTTCAGTTATCAGCTGAGTGTGCTAACCATTTGTATCACCAAGGGACTCCTTTTGTTGACAATAGAAGTCAATAAAAGAAATGCACTACCAAGCAAATACAAAGTCTTTCTTCTTTCTGGGAGTCAGTGTAATCTATTGGACAGTGCTACTCCAGAGTTCCAGGAAATGTAAGATATCAGAGATGTGGAAAATCATTCCAGTGCATAATAAAGCTGAGTCATACATATGAGCCCCTCACCAGACATCTTTCATCATTTTATGACAAATCGCAAGCCAGTTTTGAAAATATTTTGAGAAAAGTACATATATTTAAGCATTTACATTCTGTCTCATCCTTTATCTCCTTAATGGAGAACGGCACATACAAAACAATTAGAAACAATGACATTCTGCCTATATGAAATTGGCTTTAAATGTAGGAAATTACTCAGCAAGTGTTTCTTGAACATCTGCCCATGATCTTCACTAGGAAGAATAAACCCGCCCTCAGGTTTGAAGACATAAACCATGATATGATATGATATGATATGATATGATTGATATGATATGATATGATATGATATGATATGATATGATATGATATGATATGATATGATAAAACAGAGTAAACTGTGCTTTGTAGTGATTTTAATAGTGGGGTATTCCATTGATGCATTACAAAATATAATGACATTGTAAATGAACCATAGGGAATAAATAGAGGCTGTAGAAGTTTAAAGGACAGTGACTTCGCTGATGGGTAGAATGGGAGGGGTTTAAGGGTTTGAACTAGGAGGGGAAGGGAACTTTGAACAAGAGAAGAAAAAGTCAGTGTAAATTAAACCATGCGGGGTGTGAAAGTCAGAGCTGGGGAAGGTGGAGGAGCAGTACTTGGGAAGTTTTGAAAGACTGGCAGCATTTAGATTCAACCTGCAGGCTACAGGGAATCAATGATGGTTTTTACAAGGGAAGCTGTGTGATGAAAGCAATGACAGACTGGAAAAGAAAGGCTCTGGAGGCCAGGGATACCAAACAAACAAACAAACTGTTGTGGCAGAGAAAGGCAGTTGTTTAGGACCTAAGATATGGAAGGTGGCAGGGAGAAGGAGATGAGACAGATGTGACAATACTAAGGAGAGTTGGCAACATTTGGTGATTGGCTTTATAGAGAGAGGGGAGAGTAACATGAAGAAAGATTCTAAAGTTTCTGGTCTGGTGTTCTATAGGAGGGTTAGTAGAATTAATGGAACCCGAAGAAGGTAAATCTACTTTTATTCCTATTAGACTTGAGGTGACAGTAGAACAGCTAATGAAAACATTCAGCAGACAACTGGAAATGCAAAAATCTGACTTGTAGTTTAACATACTTGGGGAAAGAGGAGTCGTACAGATGTATTAAGAAAGGGGCAAAGAAACACATTTTTGAAAAATGAGCTCTGGTGGCCTAGTGGCAAGAAGCTGCACTGCAATCCCAGAGGTATGCGGTTCAAATCCACCAGATGCTCTGCTGGAGATGGAGGGGCAATTTCCTCCTGTACCAGTCAGATCTGATTTGATGGTACAAAAAAAAAAAAAATAATAGAAAAACAGTATGTGAGATCATGCTCTAAGGGAGAATGGAAAGGAGAGAGAGCTACTTTGGAATAGCTTTAGGGGAGATAAAAGCTAGGGCTCAAATGATGAACAGAAAAATAAGTAAGCCAGATATGGTACAAATGGTTAAGCACTCCGATACTAATGAAGAGGTTGGCGGTTCAAACCCACCCAGTGGGCCCTCAGGAGGAAGCTCTTGCCATTGACTTTCATAAAGATCACAGTCAAGAAGAATCTGATGGGGCTGTTCTCTGTCACTCACCATCATCGGGGTCTCGACAAGTCTAACTTTATAGCATCTAACAGCATGGCTTCTTTCAGCCATGCCTTGCCATTCAAAGGCTAAAATGTGGAAGGGGTTAGACAGAAGCATTAGAGTGGTAGAGCAGAACCCTGGAGAAAGTTAACGGGATCTAGGAGAGCCAGTGGTGGGTAAAGAAGTAGTCTCTAGGGTGTGGATATATGGGATAGCAAAGAAGGCCAATTATAGTTATTAGAGATTGGAGCAGGCTAAATTACAAAGGCAGTTGGTGATCTTTCTAGAGATAAAGGGGCTGGCAGGGAAGGGGGCCAGTCAGGTACAACTGTGCCCTAGGAGATACCTGTGGGCCAGACACACGGACTTTGGCTTGCTACGCCTTATCTCCTGGGCACTGCTAAGGAAAACCCTGCCTTTCATCTTCCAGGCTCTAGCTAAGAGAGACCTCTAGAGACACAAATCAAGCAGCTGGTGGGGGGCAGCAGATTTTTTTCATTGGAACTTGATCTGATCCACTTGTACTGTTGCCTCAAAGCCCCTGATTGGCTTCAGGGATGGTTTTCTATCATTTAAATGCCATAAACACTAACAGCAAAATAGCCCACTGGCTGGCCCCCTGCTCTCCACACCTGCCAGGCTCAGCACCTGCAGCTCCCCTTGGAAAGGACAAGGGATTCCCATCAGCCCCTGCAGAGGTGGTGGTGGTGGTGATGATGGGGTGTCCTCCAAGCCTGAAGGAAAGTTGGGGCATTAGGAAAGGAGAGGCAAGCGAGATGACTGAGGTTTATCTGGCTACCGGAGAGACTGCAGCCAAACATCTTTTTGGAAGAGTGAGACCAAGTCCTCCCATTTCTGCTGGGTTTGAGATGCAACGTGACATAAGCAAATGCAGACATAGATACACACAAGTGCAGAGACACAGGATACATAGCACAGAGGTGCATACACACAGCAGATCGCAGGAGTGGGCAGTTAGGTAAAGAAGCTTACACACATGCGTGGGCACACCTGGACCTGTTCACTGGGCCACAGACCTGTCCACACGCCCCCCCACATGTCCGCACACAGCAGTTTCCTCTCATGGAGTAGCTTCCGGTGTGAAGAGAGGCAGGCCCCTCTCTTCCAGACCTCACCCCTTCCCCTTTGTGTTTTTCCAGGTCGTGACATGGCGAGCACCACTCTGCCTGGTTACCCCCCTCACGTGCCCCCCACTGGCCAGGGAAGCTATCCCACCTCCACCCTGGCAGGAATGGTGCCTGGTAGGTGACAATGCTGCAGCTGCCTAATCTAGGTGGGGGTGGGGAGCTAAATCATGGGTGAGCAGCTGAATGGTCTGTAGTCTGAAGCTGGGGTGGGAAGAAAACCTAGTACCCCCCCTCTCCAAACCAGCCTATTCAGTCTCTCTTTTCCTAGAAGTGGCAGTTGCTCCCTCTCCCTCCCTCATGAACCCAGGGAGGGAGCTTGCTGAACTGCACCCTTGTGTGCACCCCAATTGCATTAGTATGGCTCCTCCACAGCCCCCACCCACCCAAGCCTGTGCCCAGGGAGCCCTCAGTCTCAGCTCCACCCTCTGTGCCCAGCTCACCCCAACCAGCTGACACTGCTTAGAAGAGCCTGCCCTGGTTTCCATAGAAACCTGGAGCCAATAACTATCTCCAAGGGCATGTCAGTCACTCAGCCAAAGCTACCCTGGTCTGCACCAACTCATGGGAGATAGACCAGCATCAGGAACTGACCTCACCCTGGAGAGGAGGAAGTAACCCCCAAGGAAAGACAGCAGAGGACAGGCTGTGGCAGGAACCAGTGACACTTGGCGTCAGAGAAACGAGCAAGAGCACCCTGGATCTCCTCAGAGGAACCTCATGGTTCCTCTGGGATCTAGCCCATCTCGTGTTTGAAAGAACCTGGATGTGGGTCAGTGTGGATCAGAGGCAGAGGTTATATTTAGGGTCTAGTGACTACAGCTTTAGGTGGTGCTCGCCCTAGCCCCTAATGCCAGACTGGGTACAGCTTGAAGCTAGAGTTGAAGCTCAAATTCCTGTAAACAGCAAAAAACCAAACAAAGCCCACCTCTTGCTTTAGAAGGTGAGACTAACTGGCCTGGAAGCCATTCCCTCTGGCCACACTTGGTGCCCTTTCCCTAAAGCCCAAAGCAGCAAGTAAAAAAGACAGTGATTGGTCGCATCCCTGGCCCATCCATCCAGGGACTGTCCTGAACTAGCAGAGCTTCAGGGACTGTACTGTTAAGGGGAGATTGCTGCAGGGCTGAAGGGAGTTAGAGAAACTGAGCAAAGAGCAGGGAGGTATGGGTGAGAATTTCTGCCCAGATTTGAGAGGGAGAAGAGTAGAGAGGGCGACAGGAGCTTCTTCAGGTGAGTGCAGTGAGAGGTGGAGGCTGGAGAAGGTCTTAGCAGGTGAGGATGAGGGGAGCAGGGGGAGGTAGGCATGGGGGTGGGGAGTCTGCAGGGAGGTGGATGAGGGGAGCTGCAGAGAGCTCTTGGTGGCAAGGGGGGAGTCGTTAAACAGAATCTAGTGCTGATGAGGAAATTACACTTGTTTCATTAGCGATGGGGAAGGAGATAGCTCAGTTCCTCTTGGTCACAGTTGAGCTCAGAAGCTCATTATCCTGCTGCACGCATGCTTTCCCTCCTCGTCAATAAACAGGCTTTCCAGTGGCTGCATCCCCCACCCCCACCCAGCTCCCTCTCTGAGAGGGGCCCCTTCTCCTCTACTTAACCCGCGGTTAGGGATCACTGTAAACAGTCTGGGGTCATCACACAGGAGAAAGGACGAGGGGGAAGCTCAGAGGCCTGGCCTTTCTCTCTCGGAGAGAGGTGGCTTCAGAGAGCTCCCAGCCCACGAGGCCCCTGGCTCACAGCGCCTGGCGGCCAGTCCACCCACTTCCCGAAGCCTCTGTCTCCTGCTGCGTAACACACGGATCGGGCCTCGCGAGGGGCAGGCGGGAAGGGATGTTTCCCAGCAGCCTCTACCCCCTGCACTGGCACCGTACTGAGATGCCATTTTTAGAATTTTCTGGGACAAAGTGTCCAGAGGATTCTTCTGCGCCACTCTCCCTCACTACCGCCCCCATCGGGCAAAGTATCTACTAAACAGCTCTACTAAACCCCAACGCAGGGGTAGAGGGCGCGGACCCCGGGCTTCGTGTAAAACCTTCCTGGGTGGCTTTGGGAGGACAGTCCTGGGAGGTCCTGCGGTCCCTCCACGCAAGGTGCTAGATGCGTCGGTGCTTTTGACCTTTCCCGGGACCCCCTCACATGAACTGGGGGATTGTGCGCCTCCTCCTGGTCCCTTGCTGCCGGCCAGGCTGATTCCTGACCTCCCCGCAGGGAGCGAGTTCTCCGGCAACCCATACAGCCACCCCCAGTACACCGCCTACAACGAGGCTTGGAGATTCAGCAACCCCGCCTTACTAAGTGAGTACGCCACCTGGCTGGCCGGTCGCTCAGCGCGCACAAACGTCCGCCGCGCAGTGCGCAGTGCCTGGCGCGGCCTCGGCTTGGGCTGCGCGGCCTTGACGGTGCAGCGCTGTACCCGGAGTCCCAAGGGGGATGTCCCGCCTCTCATCCCTTCCCTCCCCTCCCTGGTGGCTGGAGGGTTCTGTGCTGTCCTCGGCCCCTTCCTGTCCCACAGACAGGCGGCGGTGGTCACTACTCAGGTCCCTCTCCTGCCTGGTGAGTGCAGCTCTCCTTGGGGCAACTGGCCATGCCACCCTGCCACCTGACCAACGTCTCCCCTAGACCCTGCCGACCCCAGTCCGGGGAGGTATTTTCGTTGCTTTTCTTTCCTTTTTTGTTCTCCTGTTTGTCCTCTCACCCAGCCCATTCTTCTCCTGTGTTAACTTCCAGGTTCCCCTTATTATTATAGTGCCGCCCCCCGGGGCTCCGCCCCTGCCGCTGCTGCCGCTGCCTATGACCGCCACTAGTTACCGCGGGGACCACATCAAGCTTCAGGCCGACAGCTTCGGCCTCCACATCGTCCCCGTCTGACCGCCCAACCCGGAGGGAGGGAGGACCGGAGCAACGCGAAGCCTCCCGGCCACCGCCCCAGCCCACCCCATCCCAGGACCCCACAGCCCTTCATCGCTCCCCATGGAAGGCCAGACAGAATGGGCGGCGCCGCGGCGGGACCCTCAGGCCGGGCCCGACGCCCGTCCCCGCCCGCAGCCCCTCCTGCCTGCCTGGACCCGTGGCCAGGGGACCGGCCAGCACCTAGCCAGGCCCAGCCACCCGGCCAGGCCCAGCCACCCGGCCAGGCCCGCGGGCGCGCGCTCGGGACCTGTCTCTGTGACACACAATCAGCGCAGACTGCAGCGCGGTCCAGCCCCGCCAGCCCGCCTTGGACACTTGGGCACCAGGAGGCTTCGCCGGCCCCGCTGGGCCATGAAATGAACAAAACGATTTTCTGCCGGAGGAGGAAAAGCCCGCATCGAGACCCCTCAGAGCGGAATCCCACTCCTTCTGCGCCAGCCGGACTGCCCCCACTTTCTTGCCGGAAAAGGTGGAATGGGGGCTTGGGGCCGGATGATGGGGATTTCAGGTCTTTCCAAAGTTGGAACACAAGGCACGCAGGCCCCAGTAGCCTGTCCAGATCGAGCCCGGCTCTGGGTTTTTCCTTCTCCACCTTAGACTGCCTCGTTAAGGCCCAGGCACCTCGGCCAACGTGGCCGCTCTCCGCCCCTCCTTGCCCCGACGTCAGCGGCTCTTCCATCTGCTGGCCTCTGGGGTCCCTCTCCTGCCAGCCCTTTTCTCCTCCCAGGACGCCCGGCATCTCCCTGCCTTGGCGCCGGGGCTCAGTAGGACCAGTTTCCGTCCTACCCGAGTTACGAACTCCATGCTCCCAACCCCAGGCCCGACGCAGACTCAATCAGCCAGTGGGTGGCAGGAAGGCGCTTCCGAGCGGGCGTCTGGGCCTGCTGCGGGGTGGGAGTGGAAGGCTGCCCGCCCCCGCCCCGGCCCCCATCTCCGGCAGGGACAGAACAGAACCGCGAAAGCTCTACCTTTATTTAATATAATAACCTTTGCAAAAAGGAAACAAACACAAAAAACCCAACCGGCTGCTGCTGCTTTGTAGGAAGACGGTGTGTGTCTGTGAAGGCGAAGCCCGTGTACATAAGCCCGCCCCGGCCCCGCCTCGTCCCGTAGGTCCCCGAGCCCCAGCCCTGCCTGTAGAAGCCCCCGCTGTCCGTGCTGAGAGTCGCCGCTCGCTGGGGGGAGGGAGGGGACACAGCTACACGCCCACTAAAGCACAGCACGTCCTGGGGGAGGGGGGCATTTTTTATGTTACAAAACTATTACGAAAGAAAAATCTCTATGCAAAACGACGAACATGGTCCTGTGGACGCCTCTGGCCTCTGCTTTGTTGGCTATTTCTCTGCGATTCCGTGTTCTCGCTCTCTCCTCGGCATCTCGTCCTGCCTCGCATCTCTCCCCTCTCTCCATCTCTCTCTCCCTCGGCATCTCCCCTTCTCTGGGCCCTGTCTCTCTAGTCTTGTCTGTCTCTCTGGCCCTGCCCCAGCCGGCCCGGCCCTCGCAGGCTCGCTTAGGGGAAGGGGCTTCCCCTTACCCTCGGGCCGCCCAGCCCCGTAGTTGCTCTCTCGGTAGCGGCGATGCGCCCTGCATGTCTCCTCACCCGTGGATCGTGACGACTCGAAAAAACAGAAACAAAGTCAATAAAAGTTAAAATAAATTTTAAAAGTCCTTGAACAAATCCGAAAAAGGCTTGGAGTCCTCGCCCAGTGCTCTCTCCCCTTCGAGCCTTTTTTTATTTGAAAAGGAAAGCGAGGAAAAGAGAATAATGTAAGGGAACTGCCGGCGCCTGGCCAGGACCCAGTGGCCGGAGCAGGGAAGGCGAGGGTGCCCAGGTCCGGAGTGTGGGGCCTGGCCTGTCCCAGCCCCTGTGGGGCCTGGCCAGGCAGGGCCTTCGGACCCAGGACCAGGCAAAAACCCTCGAAAGGTTTCCCGCAGGTTCTGGTCTCCTTGGCCACTTTCAGCGCGTCGGTTCGTTTTAATTCCTTTTTTTTTTTGTGCACATGATAAATAAATAATAATAATAAAAGTAAAAATAATAATAATAAATAATAATAATAAAATTTTGTATGTCACTCCCCATGGCTCCAGGTTTGTCTTCTCCCTGTCTCTGGGCCCCCAACAAGCCCCTCAATTATCCTCTCAAGTAATCTTCCTCCACCACTTCCCCTCCAAGTCCTCCTGAAAAATCCCTGTTGGAGGCTGCGCAGCAAAGTCCCGGCTGAGTTGCAGGGATCTTTAGTCCTCCACTCCTTGTTGCTGAGGCAGAGATAGATGTCTCTGAAACTGCGAATAACTACTAAGCCAAAGGAGGGCGACTCTGCTGTTCCTACCACTTTACCTGCACACGGATTTGGGCAAGTGCAGCCCTTTCCTTGCCAGTCTGAGAGTCTGCTATTCGTCCCCTTCCTCTGTTCTTGGATAGACTCCCTGAGCCTTAGCACAGCCTGATTTGACCACAGAGACCGCAGAGGCAGCGCACTCGCTGCGCATCGACCTCCCGGGCAGGCCGGGTTCACTGGTTGACGCTGCTGCGCTCCCCGTACCCCGCGCAGGCCAGAGGCCAAACCGCAGCAGCTGGACCTGGTGCGCCCGGTGGCGTGCGTTGGCTGTGTCCCGCAGCGGGCCTGCAGGTGGACGTCAGGGACGGGCGGTGGGTCTGAGGTTTTTCCTTCCCGCGTTTGGACTTGAGTTTGTCTCTGAGGGCCTACGCTGGCTGACCTGGGGCCGGAAGTGGGAGAACCGTTTGTTTTCCAATGTTCCTGTGTGATTTTGCGGATCTGCAACGTAAATTCCTGTGTCTCTCTCCCTGCTTGGAGGAGGGATGGCCCAGGATCTTCCGCGCTGCACCCGAGACCCCTGGATCAGGCACCTCTCTGTGTCATGAGACACCTCCCAAATCTAGCTATCTGCATGCTTGCCAACATAGAGGCAACCTGTGAGACCAAGAAGACTTCTTCTTCCTCCAAACTTCCCAGGCTCAATTTCCACCTCAACCTTCTCCCACTAGAAGGGTTGTTTGCAGCTCTAAGTCTCCCTTGGTGGCTGGGGCTGTAGCTGGGGCTACAAGCAGCAGCTGGGGGCAGATTAAAGAGTGAACTGCCCCCTTCCCTTAGATACTTTCTTCCCTGAGATCCTTCATTCCTCAAGATGACTTGCCCACCTTAACCCCTAGGTGACAGAACAGGGAGATATGCACGATCCCCAAACACATCAGCAAGCTCCTATCAAGTCCACCCCTTTCCCTCTCCCACCCACACCCTTCTCACCTCCCCATCTGTGCTGCCTCCTTGTTTCTCATCTCAGCAAGTGGTGGGATCATTACCCACCATCCACCTCTGCAGCCCCTCTTGACCACCCATTTCCTAAAAGAGCTTTCCCCCTCAAGCTTTATTTGTTATCTACCTCTTCCCATGAAAAATTCACAAAGTGTGCTCTCAATATTTATAAATGTACTACTGGACATACATGAACCATATAAAACAAAAACTGAAAAAATATGAAACCTGAACACACAGAAAGAAAATTTCCAATGATCTCTTCTCACACACAAATGGATCATTTTTCACCCCATGGAAGACATGTACCCCTCTTTGGAGACCTTACTCTGAACTATAAAGACCCAGCATGGCAGAGCTCTTGATTATTACCTCCTGCGCTGCTGATGAATTTATCGGAGCTACCAGCATTGGGTTGTATAAAGGTAGCCCAGTGAGCTCTCTCATTATCACATGTAGCAGACTTTCTATTCCCCACTGCCTGGCTTTGGGTCTCGATCCCCATAACCCAGGAGCCCAACCTGTCCAGTACACACATTGGAAATGAAAGCCTCTTGCTTGGATTGCTCCTGGACCTCTTATCCTCTTATGTTTCTGATCTCCCTCATGTGGAACTGGACCACCAGGTTGGCCTTGTTTATAAACACCTGCCTCTACATCAAATCCTTCCTGCTTTGCCCCTCCTGGGGTGCCTGGAATTAGTCTGAGGCTCTCAGAGCATGCTCTAAAGTCCTTGTTGATAGTTGCCATCATGTCAATTCCAACTCAGTCAATAAAAGTTCTAAAGTTCTCATCTCACATTCAAATGGATCATCTGTTCAGAGCAGAACAGCACCACGGGGATTTCAAGTCTGTGGCTTCTGAAGCAGACTTCTAGGTCTTGCTTCTAAGACACCTGTGGGTACATCTGACCTGCCAACCTTTGGATTAGTCATCTAGCACCACTATTTATGCCACCTAGAGTCTCCTAATGTCCTTTGTTAGTTGCCTGTGCACCCTCACCCAACCACCCCAACACAAATAGGATCTGTTGTACAGATATTAATTTTACTGTTGTTGTTGATTGCCTTTGAGTCGAGCATGACTCACAGCGACCCTATGAACAAAAGGCCTGAAGCCCCTCTACAACTATCAACATTTATCAAAGTTCATAGAGCTTCCAGAGGCATGTTGTTTAGGAAGTAGATGCCACTCCTAGTTCCATCTCTACCCCATTCCTATGAAGTTCCTGACTAAAGTATACCAAGTCCAATAGTTAGAAATGGACCTGCTAAAACATGGAGGCATAGACCAGATAAAATGGAACTGGAGTATTAGGTACCTGGAGAAAGGCAGAAGTGGTGGGAAAGTTGAAAGTGCTTGGTAGGACATTGTACAGAAACTATCAAAAATAATTCCTGTCACTCACACAGCTTCTCTAAAGAAGTTGCTCCACCCTCAGCACTTTCTGCTCATGTAGACACTGGCAGCTATATTTGTACCAATGACTGTGAGTAGTTTAGAATTAGTCCGAGTTGATAAGTCTCTCTTTCTCAGGAAAAAGCACTAGGAAGTGTGGAGAACATGAGACCATTAAAACTGAATGGGAGCCATGAGGGGGTCCCCAGCTTGCTCAGCTCAGTACAGTGCAATTGCATTTCTCTAGTCCTGGCATCTTCCCTCACTCTCCACCCCACAACTGATCTATCAGCAAAACCTGACAGCTTTACCTTTAAAATAAGTCCAGAATTTGACCATGCCTGACTACCCACTCTCTACCATTCTGGTCTAAGCCATCATGATCTTTTATCTAGAACTTGCACAAGAATTTCATTTTGCCCAGGCCCAGTGTATTCTTCTATCCCTATCAAAGTCAAGCACTACTCATAGCGACCCTATGAATGAAAGGCTTGAAGCCATATCTATTCAATAAATATATTTTGGAACAAAACAAATGAATAGAGCATTGAGGAAGGAGAACATGAGTGAGCAAGAGCCTTCAACAGGAAAAGCACCTCAGAGAAGAGAAAGAGATGGCAGGGACCTTACAATACATGAAAGAGGAGGATGACAAGACAGAGTAGCTAACAGAGAGGATTTTGAGAACATTCTTCCTGTTCCTCCTGCAGATCCATGGTTTGTCTTCTCTGGAACTCACGAGAACTGCAGTCTTCAAATAACTTCCACCATCACCAATGGAACCAACTACACTTAACCTAGTCCCTGTGGAGGACCCCAAGGGGTTATCCTATTCCATTGGAAAACTGTCCCTTGACCATTCTGTGTAGTTCTTGTACAACTGTCAATCAGAATGCGTCATCAATTTCCAACCACAAGTGTGGCCTGTGTATGACTCACACTTGGCCAATTGGAATCCCAGGTGCCTGTCAATAGTACATAGCCTCAAGTTAGGGGCAGTCAAATCTTCTTAGGAGGCTAATGGGTGGGTGCTGGAGTACTAGTCCTTTTGTATACTATAAGCTGCAGTGATGAAGGCTCAGACCTCCAGGAACTGCCCTCAATCCACACTGTCTGAGAGTGAAGCAGAAACAGCATTAAAAGGTAAAGACAAAAGAAGTTTGATGGTGTTATCTGGGGCTCTGGAGCCAGTTAGACCTGAAGCAAAAGCTGTGCTTACAGTCATAACCCGATACATTCTCTTTCTCTCCCCAACCTCACTCTTTCTCTTATGTATGATGGCATGCTTTTAGGCATAAGCTGGCTTGTTGGGTGGATCACTTGCAACCAAATCACTGAATGGCATGATAAGTTCCTCTGGTGGCCTAGTGGATGCGCCAATGAGTGAGTGAGTGCAAAGGGCAAAGGCCCAACTTGTCTGGCTGTTTGAATCCACCAGTCATTTCACAGGAGAAAGATGAGGAGTCTCCCCTGTTATTGATTTAAAGACTTGGAAACCTTTTAGCGGTCAGCTATGCGCAGGATTCAACTCAACAGCAATGAGAGAGAAAAGGGCAGGAAGGGCCAACTAAGGATGCTGGGGTTTGGCTTTTTTCCTTATAGACAATGAAAGGGAGCTCTGCTGGCCCCATAGTAAAAAACAGCGCTGTAATACCAAAGGCACGTACCAGCTGCTCTACAGGAGAAGGATGGATGATCTCCTGTATGACTTACTGCCTCTGAAAATCTGCTGCAGGGTCAGCTATGAGTCAGTTTCCACTCAGTAGCCCACAATGACAACCCCCATAGACAATGAAAATCATGGAAGTTTTTAAAGTAAGTGAGAACGGCTTAAAAGAGCTGCATTTCTGAAGAGTTCTCAGTCAATAATATTCAGAAACACAGACACACAGTGGACATAGAAAAGCCTATAGACCACTGCAGTGGTCCAGGCAAGAGTAATGGGGCCTACACGAAGGACTCAAGTTCAGGGAGGAAAAGGATATATTTATTGAGCAATAAATATACAATATATTTACTGTATCAAAACAGTTCACTACTGCTCTCGTTCAGTTTCTATAACAGCCTTGTGAGGTGGGTATTGCTGTTCTTTTTTTGGGGGGGTGGGGGCTATTATTGATTTTAATGCTTCACTAATGAGAAAACAAATTCAGAGAGGTGAAGTCACCTGCTCTTGGACATAGATAACAAGTGACAAGGCTGAGAGATGGCCTCGGATCTTTCTGACATTAAAGTTTATACCTTATGGCAGGCAAAGCTACCCAGCTCATTTTCCTCAGGAGGGTAAGAACAAAGTCCATACTGCCATAACTCTGGGCCTAGTACAGAGACATGCAAAGAATAGGCATCTTTGTATGTCTCTGTACTAAAGATATATTGCAAAAAATAGGGAGAAATAAGTCTATTTACCTACATTGTTTATACAGACATAAATATTGGAAAGATGAAGTTCTGATTTAAATAATCAGATAAAAAAAAGTTTATTCCTAAATAGGAAATGCTGTGAATAGTACAGGGAAAAGAACAAAACATTTATAAACATACTTTTTAATTTAGTTTTGACTTTTTAAATTTTTTTATTATTAATTTCAATAAAAATTTACAGAGACTTTGAATTTCCATTCATTCATTGTTGCACTTTTCTCCCTGCCCACCCGACCCCCTCCAGTACACTCCTCTCTTTGAAAAGTAAAAGAAAAATTCTTTCATTGTTTTATAATCCCTCTCCCCAGCTCCACTCCACTATGCAGCCTTTGCTCTGACTCCTGTCATGATAAAAATACCTAATCACATATCCCTTTTAAAGAGTTTTCTCCCTCATTTATCCCATCAATTGACTTTTTTTATTATTAAATTTTATTCGTTTTAATGAACATTTACAGAGATTTTGGGTTTTCATTCATTCATTGTTGCACTGTTTTCTCCACCCTCCTCCCCAGTTCGTTCTTCTTTCCCCTCCCCCA